GTCTCGGCAGTGGTTGCGTTAGGGCTATCGCTGTCTTCAGCTGAGCTGACCGCTGCCGATGTGGGTAGCGTATTGTTTGAAGTTCGTGGTGTTGCCCAAAACGACTGGGATCGCTCTGGCGGGCTCATTGAAGGGGGGCTGGAAAGAAGAGGCGAGTCTGGGACGAGCTTGTCATTCAGCATCACAGGACGTGACCAAGGAGAGCTGAAACTGCGCTGTCTTCTTGAGGTGATCTCGCCCATGAGGGCCCTGGTATCGATCTCGTCACCAGCAGCTCGCTTGACCTTGATAAGAATTCGGTACTTCAGTTCCTCGGGTGTAGGCAGCGATTGCGAGTCAAAGTCTAGCGGCTGGAGCACCAGCTTGTCGCCGAACTCCTGCATCATGATCTTGACCATGGCAGATTGTTGAATCGGTGAGCAGTGCACCTCAAGCGAGAGGATGACTGGGTAAGGTGACTCTGTGAAGGCATACTTGTTGATGACCTTGATGGTGTCTTGGAAAAGGATGCTCTTGGTCAAGGTTCGGCCGTGCATAACAACAGGGATGTTATCGGCGCCATCCCAACAGTCGATCTCAAGGCATCGGCAGCCCTTCTGGAGCGCTGTAATGTAGGCCTCTGTGCTTGACTCGCCTGCGACCTGGCGGCCGAGCAGGTAGGTGTTGTGGGAACTGGAGATGAAGTACTCGTTCAATGGTCGGTTGAGTTCTTTTGGCTGACCGACTGGCTTGAGGATGGAGTTGGCGGCAGATGTCAGGTACGTCTGGAAAGCCGGGAAGTTCATTGCCAAGGGCAATGGGATATCCCCACCCTCAGTGGGAGTAGCAGCCATCCTGGGTCTTGTCGCGCGCGCAAACTTCTCGAAAGTGTTTGTCCAGTACTCAAGGTCTTCGTTCACGTCTACGCCCTGGTCCTGACGCAGAAAGGTAAAGAAGGTGAACTTGTCCATTTCAATTTTCGAGCCAGATGTGTAGGTCTTATAGATGGCCTTGATGTCTTTGCGCTCCTTGAGGCGTCGGACGAAATACAGAAATTGCTGTTGGTTGAGTTTTCCAGCGTCCAGGGTATCGGCTTTTGAGAAGTAGGCGCGAAGCGTGGCTTCTGTGCAGTTGATGTGCAAGCTTCGGCACAGCTCGACAGTGCTTGGGAAGTCGAGAGACTCGTCGCCTCCGCCGCGCTTTTTCATTGCGCGTTGCCAGACAAGCTTTGCGCTCTTGTCCGCGAAGCCAAGTAGGCCGGCCATGAGGTCAATGCGGTTGCGCGACACAGACTCAAGTGTTTGAGTCCACATGTTGAAGACACCGACGTCGGGCGCAATCAAGTGCATCGTTCGTATCCGGCCTTTGGAGCGAGTTGTGTCGGTGTACACGATGGTAAACCAGTAGGGTGCCCAGTTCTCGGATAGGCCGCACTCTTCGCGGTAGTGCTTTGCTTCCGGTCCTGAGCGGATCTCCTTCACATCATCGATGTAGAAGGCTTTGGAGGGTCGCGATGGATCCCAGAATACCTTGGCCGATTCCAGATCGAGCCGCAGGTTGATCTCCTTCTTCTCCTTCTTGGTAATCTTCCTCAAAACGGTGCCTTGCTCAAGGCGAGAGTTGCGCACTGGGGCGACAACTGCGGCATCTGGTATCGAGCTGAAGCTTGGGGTCGGGTTCGAGATGCCAAGGCCGTGGATGGGCTCAAAGGGGTCTTCTACTGCTTCTTCCTCTTCAAAGGCGTCAAAATCGGAGATGCCAGTGTCGGCGTCGGCGGCAGTCCTGCTGTCGCTGCGGCGGCGCATGATGACGGGGCCGGAGCTCTTGTCGCGTAGTGCTGAGGTGTTGCCTCGGCGGAAGCGGCCTGGAATGTTTTGGGCGCCCCGGCTAACTCTGCGAATCAAGCCCGGTCCCTTTCCCAGGGCCTCGGCCATGGCCGAAGGTGAGGATGTGGGCGGCGACTGAACTGGTGGTGGTGGAGGGGGAAGGAGCGACTCCGGCAGGGTGTAGGAGGGAATGGCGGGTAGCGACGACGAGACGGGCACCATGCCCTCGGGAGTAGATTGCAGGGAGCCATTGAGGTACGAGGCCGTCAGGGCGGGACTGGCACGGGCGGGAATGTTGATGGCGCGGGCGTAGCTGGACTGGGGTGAGGGCATGCGCGGTCGCGAGTAGGTGTCGTGTAGCAGCGACATGGTCGTGGTAGTGTCACTTGAATCAGATGGAATCGGGGCGGGCTAGTAAATCTTCATGGCGCGGGCAATGCTGAGTGAGAAGGAGCGTAACGGCGTGCGGGCGCCACTTGGGTAATAAAAGCAGACAGGATCAACAGCCTGCTGGGTCCTGGTGGAAAAGCTCAGGCTAGGAGCTGCTTTGCATCGTGAGACTGACGGAATGCGTTTGGGCTATGACGAGTTGGGACTGGGAAGCGCGCGCTGCGCGAAGATGCAGACGCAGGTCAGCTGGGATTACTGGAGAATTGACTTGCATGCACTCTGCATGGATAATTTGGGATTCTCAAGTACTCCGGAGCAGTCGTGGGGGTTGCAAGCGATTCGGCAGACCAGGGCGGGCGAAAATCGATCAGCGCGTGGATTCGGTGCTGCAGGAAATGCGGAGAAGGGTGTGGTGAGGCAGCGTATCGTCGGCCGTCGTCTATATGGTCGTCGGTGGTGTGAGTGTGGGAGGGCTTGACGTGGACGAAAATGTTTCTTTGTAATTGGTGGTTGTGCTGGATAGTGCGAGGAAGGAGTGGGCTGTAGGGCAGACAAAGTAGTATATGGGCAACGGCTGCGCTTGGCGGCCTTCTTTAATCCAGGAACAGACAAGGCGCACACCGAATTTTCAGCTAAATCTTACAAGCACACGATTATCCCTTGACTCCTAGTCATTCGGGCTTCCATCCGCCTCCGCTCAATTCGGGCTCCGAGGGCACTTCCCTGTTTGTCTCCTGTGCTAGCGCTGGACAACGAGAGCCGCGACGCTGGTTAAGGCCCCACTGAGCAACGGTGTCCTGTATGACGCAGCCCATGGATATACTACGGGGTCCGCCAATCATAGTCCAGGCACACTGAGCCGTCGCTGTCCTGGCCTGATGATTTTCAGGCATCCAGGAAGGCAGTGGAAGCACTGAGGAAGCATATGCTGGGACAGTGAACAAGAACAGGACATGCACTGCCCTGCCGTTTGTCAATCGCCGGTTGCACTACATCAGGCCTATCATGGCCATGCCGTGCCTTCCGGCGAGGGGATGCAAGGCTGGCTCGCAAGCAGAAGCAACTTCAAAGGCCCTGATGTTGTTCGGTTCGTTGTCGTCGATCAATTCGTTGACTCACCGGTCCTATTGCGCTGGTCGTGCGATGGCCCTGTTGCGAAACCTTGACGAGTACAGGCCGGCTTGGTAGCATTGGCTATACCACAGGTCGTCATGTTTGCTACATGGTATCCGCATTGCCGACTGCGCGCGGTGCTGCTAGTTTCTGACTGGTCTCGCGCGACAATACGGTGTGTCCGAGTAACACGAAGCAGCAAGCGTATACTGCATCTTGCTCGCTCACTCACTTCACTCGCTGAGTCGCAGTCGTGGCAGACGGACATCAGACGTGCCCATCCAGCGAGTCGCATCCATCGAGCAGGCGCCCCATGTGTGGCGGTGACAGCCCCCATCGCATCGCATCGTCTCACACGTGGCGCGCGGGCAAGTGAAACCCAAGTGCGAAGCCGGCACAACGGTACCACCATCATAGGCGGCTTCTGACGGTCGTGACGGCGCAAAGTCAGGGATCCGCCCTCGACTCGCTCTAGGTTTCCGCTGGCCCCTCAATTTGCTGCAGCCGACTCGGCTGCTTCACAATTACAGCACGTACCGCTTTTTCACACAGAATGGCGCGACAATGCTGTACGCCCAATGCTCGTATCCGCATCGCCCTGCCCACTGCGAGTCGCGTGATTGTTCCATGGCTGTGCTCCAAAGTTTCCATGCCTTCGAGAAGGAAGGATTCCTGCCCCTGACAGCCACTTGCCAATCATACCACCGCGCCCCCGCACATCAACCGTAGTGCCAACGTGCCGGACTTTTCCAGCTCATCCCAATGTCCATGTGACTTGCTGGCGGTGTGATGCATCTTTGTTCATCGTCGCGCTTTGTCCAATCGTTTCTTTGTTGCTGCTGTATTCTAAGCGACCTCTCTCATGCCTTGACTGTGTCTCCAGCGCCGCATTCGGCCCTTGGGCATCAGCGTCCTTTCGTAGCTCATCGGGCGCATATCCGGTAGGCTCGCCGTTGTCAGTGATTGCCGTTTGCTAAGTAGGGATGGCCGGCACTGTGTTGTCACAAACTCATAGGGCTCACCCGAAATAGCGCTGCACGTAGCCCCGCCTGCTCTGAGCCACGCTCGAAACATTTGCAATCGATGACATGCATGTACCCATCACCCCGTACGAAGGCGTCATGCCTGCACCTATTCTGTCGCTGTCTTTATGTGTGCTTCTGCATTAAGCTTCTGCATTGAGCCTTTCTGGCTGTCTGCGGCTCCAGTCGTGCTGCAATGCCGTTCACAGTTTGATCAACGTGGGCGATCAGAATCTTATTCTGCGTACGAGCTGTGCGACTCGGACTGTAGCTTGAACTGCGCATCTTGTACAATTTGCGCCAATGAGAATCTGTAAGCCCCATAAAAATGTCTGATTCGCTGATGGCAGTAGGTTGTACGCCGTTTACTTAGCCTACCACGGTACTGCAATGCCATATCGATAGGCAAGAAAAGGCGAAACTGTGTTACAAGAAGAGCCGAAACCTCGATCAAATCTCAGCCTCAGGTATCCCGCGTTCGCAGTGAGCCACCCATCTAGCATGTACCCTGTCAACGTTTGTCAGGATCGACGAGGTGGAGTGCCCCCATCACGGCTTGTTGGGATATCGCAGCCAGAAGAAGACCCTTTGAAATTTCGGCTCAATATGGGTCCGCTCGCCCTCGCTGGTTCTTGTGCAAATGCATGTAACTTCAAGATGCGGGACGTTGTTATGTTACTAGAACCTTGGATGAGGTGAGACCTGAAGATGCGTTGTTCTGTAGAGATGCATGGGTCACCCACTGCTTGTCGGAAACTTTGCGCTCTAACATCTCGTCGCCCTGTTCACCTTGAGTCAATCTCTCAACAAATCCGCCGAAGAGTAGTGGACTGGCGTTACGGGATCTTAATGGTGGCGCAAAGCTTCTTGGATCTGGGGCGTCGTAGCCCGCGTCAGAAGCAAGTTCTGATCCAGACTCGTACACTATGGGGCTGACAGAGCTGACTGCGCGGGATATTGGCAGATACTCTGAAGATGCATTTTCAGAGGACCTTGAAATCAGTGGAGATGTTTTGCATGCATGGTCCTGCATCCCTGGCAACGAGAGTTTATCATCGCTCTGGAACACAAATGCCCGCCAATTCTTCTCGTCCTCGTCCAGACTTCGCAAAGCGGTGGTCACCGGTTCCTTTCGACGAATGGCGGTCACGCCAGAGGGATGCGTCAGTATTGGTTCTCTAATACGCCTCGTCAAGGAAGGCAAAGAGGCGGAAATTGAGGACGAGCTGACGCGGCTCTGATCACCCTGACCGTGAGTGGCCTGTTGTGACCAGTTCGTTGCAGCTTCATTGTCCTGTTTCGTGGTGGGGTGATCATGCAAGAAACTGCTTCTGGCTGTATCGGAGTGGCTTGAATCATCGGAAATTGCGAGATACGTCTTCCAGGGTCCTTCATCGACGATTGCGTGGCCTGCCGAAATCTCAACATTGACAGGATGCTCCATATCAATATCGACCTGATGCATATGTTCCGTCTTGGACGGGAGCGCCGAGTCTGGATTGCAAAAAGGCTGTGTCTCACCGATCTGGTAGTCGTCCGATGCAGTACGACTACGGCTACCTGCAGCAGAGTTGGAGCCGCTGAAGGCGAGACGGAAAGCGCGCTCACCGTTATGAAGATGATGCGTAAGTCGAAATTCATGTGTAAAGCTCCCGGTCTGTCGCGAGGTTATTGTCGTGGGTTGACACTGCAGTCCAAGCTGATCACCGATAATGCCCCCTTGCTCAGAAGCACCTGAAGATAGACTAGCTACGTTGCGCCGAGCAATACTATAGCACTGAGGCTGCTCACCGGTCGACGGCGCATGGGAATTAACACGAGCTTGCTCAGAAGCACTAGTTGCTGCATGAAGCTGAAGATTAACAAGTGGCTTCTCTGAGCGTTGCTGTGCAAGAGGTCCTTCCTGGTCGAAGAGCATTAGCTCAGAGGAAGCATGCGACTGCGCATGTTGGTTCAGCTGTGTAGAGTAAATGCTTGTCATTGCATCTGTACCAATCCGGATTCGCATATTGTCGACATTTTGGTGTGGACCACTTCCTCTGAGCATGCGGGAAAAGTTGTCGTTTGCAAGTTCAAGGTCTTTATCCCTGAATTCTTCATTGTCCCTCTGTCTTGGAGCTGCGCTGCGTCCTTTTTTCGTTCTCCTACGCTTGCCGATTCTGCTCTTCTCCCTGCTTGATTGGAACCGTAGGCTGACCGGTTTCGCTAGGTCAATGCCGACCCAATCTTGCTGTGTTAAAAGCCTCTTCCTGTTAGCTTCAAGCCACTGGAGGTCCATGTCCATCTCTGGGGCCCTGTGTTTCCCGTCATGCAAGTCTGTTGGGTTGTTAGTCCATCTTCACGTGGCCCCAGCAAGTGAGCAGCAAGTCACCACTAATGCCTCTATGGATGCGAACTTTTGCATTCGAGTTCGAAGGAGAACGGCGCAAAAGATTTTTTGAATGCCTTTCATATGACGTTCTTGTCAATCGTCTCTTGTCTGGCGTGGGCTCACGCTGCGTTCTCTCACTTGGACGCTTCGCTGTATGTCCTGTAGGCCACCGCACTGAGCCTGAGCCAAGCGGAACTAAGTTCCAGATATCGAATTTATCGTTATCTATTAGATGGTTCGGTCGGAGAGGAGCGACATGTGAGTCAGTAGCATTTTGTAGCTGTGTGCGCGCCTTAGCAAAGTACGCTTTCTGCTGTTGGAGCACGCCTGCGTTGGCTTTCTTGGTGCGCTGCAGCGAGCCGCCTGTCCAGTTCATGTGTATAGCATATCGGCACTGTTCTATAACTGCACGGGTTGAAGGAGAATCATGCGAGAAGAGGTAATTGGAAGGCAGTGGATGCTGATCGAAGCTGCGGCATGCGCTTGCCTGCTGAATATGGGCAGCTCCTTCCCCAGCTACGTCTCTTTCCTCTCCGTCCGACCAAGCCCTAAGGTTGGAACACAACTGCAGCACTCCACACCTCGTATTGTGCACCCGACCCTCCACAGCGCTGGCTGACCCATCTTCCTCGGTTACTACTCAACGAGCGTCCTCCACGACTCATGCTCGGATCTGTCTTGCCGGCGGAAAAACAAGAACAGATGAAAGGGTCCAAATCGTTTGGTCGATCAGCGCCTCCATCACTTCCCTCCGCAAGAATAGTGGAGCGCCGGAGAGGTACCGAGACCCTGCGACGGGATCCCCGTGGGTGTGGGAAATCTTTAACAATCATGGCCATAGGGTGTGGGGACGGTCACTTGAAGGATGCATCGCGTTGCTACACCATAATCCACGAATATAGCAGGATATGCGAAGTCCATGAGCTCTGTAGGACCGATTTTAGAGCTATCCACAACTCAAACTTTGGGGTCACACCTGGGGAAATCGTGGAGACGTGGAGAAGAATGGGGTTGACAACCACAACCCCATACCAGATCCACCACCGTTCCCAACCATACTCCATTTATCCGTCTCTTCAATTCCAAGCCTAAACGCCGGTCGCAATAAGTGTGCTCCGTACATGGCGCTGTCTTCTCGGCAGCTGCATCAGATCATTGCTTCTTGCAGCGTGGAGTCCGGTCCTGAACGGGTCCTGCGGCATCTGAAAGCGCCCATGTACACAGGGTCCGCGACTTGACTGGTCATTGGGTGCATTCTTCCTAACTGACCAGGCATCGGTGTTGCATTTTCGCTCAAATGCCTCAATTTACTTCCACCCGCCATTCGCAGTCGTTCGATCGTCCTTCCCGAAGGTTTTGGAAAATGGATATTAGGTTTGTTTATGGCGCAACACCTGCCAGCCCATATCCACGCTTGCAGCCTGACCCTATAATGCGAAATGATGGCATACATGCTGCCGTAGCCCTTACTGCAGCTGCGCCGCCAGTTGCGGTGTACCTTCATGTACAGTTACGTCAAGCGCCATGGCCTGAGACTCTTGCTGTGGGTACTGGTTCTACTGGCGACCCACTCCATGTAAGCTGCGTAGATATCGCTCAATGCACGCGCCTACAATCGGAACGATGGTGCATCGGTTGTTACATTCGACATGTGAAAGGCAGCGATAAGGACCCCACCTATAGTATCGCAGACGTGTTTCGTTTCTGTCGAGGTGAGCATGTTCAGTCGACTGGCCACAATCTGTCTTACATGTGGTAACGGTAGACAAATGCTAAGAGGCTAAGACGGATTGGCATGTCTGCCGAGATAGCCTACGTTTGAGGCTCAAGTTGCCTCATCTAGCTTCCGATACTTGGCGAGAACTGTCGGCCGGCTTGTTCTCGCCGGAAACGAGGAGCTGTCGATCGGAGGTGGTGGTAAGCTTCAACAGGGACTCATCACCAAGGCCTGCCCTGAGTCCCTGAGGCTGTTCATTTGCGGGCGCCTCCAGCCGATTCGAATAGCCATCCTAAGGCGCCGAAGCGATATGCGAGCTAATCATAAATGACATCACTAGCGCAGATGGCCTCAAAACTCTGCAACACCGTTCCACAGCAACACCAGCCGCGGCCGTCTACCACATGGCGCGCATGGGACGGCAATAATCCGAGACCGCCAGAGATGCAGGAGACCCTGTACCGTGACTGTCATACCCACTCTTATTGCAACATTACCGGACTACGTGTCGAATGGGAATCGAGAAACATGCCACAATCTCTCACTCCATGGCGGAAGCGCACGCCTGGGCACTCTCTACCGCTATCGATTAGTATCGCGTTTGGTGTCGCAAATGTGTCCCTTGTTCTGGATCTGACCGAGTGACGCCATCGATCTACGCAATGCCATCCAACAGAATCCCGAGCCATACCCTTATCGCTCAAGGTCCGGCACATCGACGTAGAAGTGCATTGTACCTTGCCGCTATACTTGCAGTACGTGTTTGAGTAATGTAGGGGGGCGAAGTAAGGACTACTGTATGTCTTCGGTATAAATGTCTCGGTATTCTTCGTACAAACCAACCATCTATCATTATATCCACCTCCACATATCCACATACCCACATACCCACAGTTCTCTCCGCTTCTTTTGAGGGGTTACCTGGAGTCTCGACCTATCTACCGGGCTCGTATACTATAAAGGCTACCAGAATTCCAGTGTTTTGAGATTTCATCAAACCAGGCTCAACAAACTCCTTCATTCGCAGCAAACAACATAAGTTGCAAGACTCTCCGTTGGAAGATCAGTCTTCATATTATCCTTAACAATGTCGGCGCCTTCTCTTGCAGTCCCTCCCTCGACGGGAAACCCTCGACGTCTATCTTCCAGTGAAGCCACCCGCGAGAACATCACAATGGGTCCAACGGTCGTCGTACCCCCACAACATCTCATGGCCCCGTCAAAAGCATCGGAGATTGCCAGCGCTTTCGAGACTGCCAGACATCACCTTGACTCTGCCGCGACTCCTGGGTCGCCTGGTTATACTCCTCCCGAAACTTCAGTCACGGACAAGTATGCTTTCGCTTTTGGTAAGTCGAACTCCATTAGTTCAAAGTGAATTTACTCTAACATAGCTCAGATATTGACGGTGTCCTCATCCGAGGTGGTCGACCTATTCCAGAAGCTGTTGAAGCCATGAAAATGCTCAATGGTGAGAATGAATACGGTATCGTAGTGCCATACATCTTTGTCACCAACGGTGGTGGAAAGACTGAAGCCGAGCGCTGCGTACAGCTCAGCAAGCAAATGGAAATCGAAGTATCACCTGGTCAATTCATCTGCGGACACACTCCCATGAGGGAGATGGCAGAGAAGTACAACACTGTCCTCGTTGTCGGAGGCGAGGGCGAGAAGTGCCGTATCGTGGCTGAGGGCTACGGCTTCAAGGATGTCGTTACCCCAGGAGATATCATCAAAGACAACCAGGACACTACACCCTTCCGCAAACTCACAGAGGAAGAGTACAAGAACTCACGAGCGCGAAACTTCGCTGAAGTCGAGATCGAGGCGATCTTCGTCTTCGCCGATTCTCGCGATTGGGCGTCTGATCAGCAGATCATCTTGGATCTGTTGATGTCAAAGAAAGGTCGTCTTGGAACCCGATCCGCCAACTTCGACGAGGGTCCACCAGTCTTTTTCTCACACAACGACGTTGTTTGGAGTGCTTCGCACGACCTTACCCGCATTGGTATGGGTGCCCTCCGTGTTTCACTTGAGGCTATGTTCAAGGCAGTCACTGGCCGAGAGCTTAAGACTACCGCATTCGGCAAACCTCAAATCGGCACTTTCGAGTTTGCCACTCGTCTTCTCAAGGAGTGGCGAAGGGACACTCATGGCATCAACTCCGCTCCTTCAACCGTCTACTTTGTAGGTGACACACCCGAGTCGGACATCAGGGGCACCAACGAGTATAACGCGCACACCGACTCAGCAAACTGGTACTCCATACTGGTAGAGACAGGCGTCTACCAACGCGGTACTACTCCTCGCTTTGAGCCCAAGGCTATTGTGCAAAATGTCCTCGAAGCTGTCAAGCATGGTATGGAGCGCGAGTACAAAAAGGCTCTAAGGGAGAGCATGATGAACACTGGTGTGCTTGAGCAGTAAGAAGGATCTTCTTTTCCTTCTTTCTCTTCTATTAGTTTTCTGCATAGCATGGCGCATGGGTATTACCTCATTTGATTTCATTATATCGCTGGCAATAATGGCCATAGATCATAGACACTTAGCTAGATCACGAAATGGTAGATACAAACACAACACATGATACCAGGCAGGCATAATAGCCTTGTCACATCATTTACAATTTTCCATTGTTCTTTCTCAGATTAATGAAGACCAACACATTGAAACGTAAACTACCACTACCACTACTCTGACTAACTACTGACGTCTGCATCATCGACCAAATCGATCCGGCCATATTCAGGCCGTCTCCTCGCCTCGAAATGCCTCACGTCGACACATCATACCCGTACCAGCGCGTGCGGCAACTTCCGATTCTGATCATTCACACTTGAGATGACGAAAGTACTCACGCCGCGTTACCCGGCATTTCCCAGGCGACACTACTTTGTACGCGGCACACAACACCGCGAAGCTTGTGTTGCGAACCGCCTTAGTCGGGCCGAGAAGCTCATAAGTCGCCGGTTTAGTGCGGCCAACAGCACTTACGATTACGACGGCCAACCACACCATCCATCATGTCAGCCCACACCTAAGCTACGAGAATGGCCGAGAATACCATTGCCGATGGGATCGCGATCAACGTTGTGTGAGGTGCAATATGTGGGCTGTGAGATTAAGGATTGTGGCATTCGCGGCTATGGGAGGTTAATTGTGGGTGGGTGGGTTGAGAGGAGTATTGTAAGAGGATCGATCGTGATAGGTGTTTCCATTCTGGCGGAACGGTTTCCGCATCTGTAAGAGGAAGTTACGAAGGTCTTGTCGCACCTTTCATCACGATTTCCTACTCTGGCTCCACTATAGCGTACCTACTGACACGACGTTACGGTACATCGCACTCGTGCACCATCTTTCTCGGCACGGATAACATATCTTCCTGCGGTACCGCATAGTAGTCTGCACATGTTTCGAATCAATCACCAGGCGACGTTGCAATATGGGTCTCTATGTGGACCCTAAGGCACGCGGTTGACCAAACAGCCCACCCGTCCGCGCAATCTTATCGTTTGGACGGAATGGAAGATGTCGGAAACAATCCTGAAACCATCGACACGTCTGTTTCTAAACTCTCAAGATTTGCCCGAAGACACGACACTGACAAGTCTGCACTCGTTGCATGAGTCATGGCACAACACAGGTGGCCCCGGACCCCGCGAGTCGTATTCCAACGGCTGATTATCTGGGGTGGCCTGGCGGGCTATGCTAGGTGTTGGTGACGGGGACGGCCTTGCTCGTCCATTGGAGCATGCAAGTTTGGGAATGGCTGGTTTACATGAGACTAGGACCCTGGTGGACAGCGATGTCTGATACTGAATATCCTGTCTCTTTCGCATTCTCCTTCTAGCAGGTGAGCAGATTTCCGCTTCCCCGCTGGAAGAGGCGTTGTCTCGGCGGAACCGTAATGAAGCCAGGCCGCAGGCTGTTCGACCTGCTGCAATAGGCATACTGATCCCTGCAGTTGAGATATGCAGATGAGCGGTCGCTAATGCTTAACGCCGATGCTTCGTTTGGCTCTCGACGTACGTGTGATGGGGTACGAAGTCCGTATGGCGTGGGAGAATTCAGTACGAGATTGACGGTCGTAACGAGATGAACACATTTTGTGTACTCTCTCGGTTGAGACAAAGATCTTTGCGGATGTTCGTATGAACCATGGTAGTTATCCCGCGTGGTTGATCACTTGCTTCGTATTTCGTTGGTGGTATGGCATACACTACCTACCCACCTATGTCTTGATGACATGCATTAGCTTGAAGACTGACCTCCACACTATCAAGTCCAGAGTGTATCAGTAAATTATGCAGAGCAAGTAATATTGATATATGATGAAAAATGAATGATGATAAGAGAAGTGACACATGACCGAGTCTGATCATATATAAGAGAACCATCATATCTTTATTAGGCACGGTCCTCCTCAAATTCTTGCTCAGAGCGCTCGTTGTAGGCATTGAGGCTGTAGAACCAGTCTAGCTTGCTGCGTATAGCCTCTTCCGTGTAATCCGCGGTGTCAATGTTCTTCGGTCGGAATTCTGGCTCCATAGGATCTATGAAGACCGTAGTATTATCGTAGCCCCATTTTTCGAGGTTCGTGACGTTGAACGCAACCATCATGCTATTTTTTGTTAGTATTAAAGCAATGAGATGATAATCGTGAAAAGACTTACTCATGGTCTTCATGGATAAGGTTGTGACAATGGAACATGTAGACACCCTCCCATGGTGCGTACCTAGCCACAACACGGACGGATTCACCAGGGGCTATCCAAACGACATCCTTTTCACCCGCTGCCTCGTATGGCATCACATCGTTACGGCCGCCAGTGCGAGAAAGCACCTGGAAATCAACGAGGTGGATATGAACAGGATGCGAGGCATTTCCACCTCCGTGTCTCAATTCCCAAATCTCGTCCTTGCCTAAAACAGGTCTTGTCAAGATTCGGTTCTCGATATCCTCCCAACCAACTCCATTGATGAGCCACTCGCCATCAATTCGAGAGAAAGTGAAATTCTTAGTGACGTTGGTTTGTGGTGGTGGAGGAATGTAGCGAAGGTCAGACGGCACGGGGTCGTTGTTGGTGCTATCGGCTGCAGTGTCACTGACTACGAATCGCATGACACGATCGGTTGCAGCATAATCAAGATTGCCCGCCATCCCACGCTCGTTGAGCATTGTAATGTTCTTGCCCTTGTAGTTGGCGAAGTCGACGACCATCTCGTAGCGTTCGCCTTCAGCGATCGCGAAGCTCTTCGTGTTTACTGGATGAGAGAACAGTCCTGACAATATGTTAAAGAAACCCCAAAAGGCGGTCAAACACACATACCACCATCCGAGCCGATCATGTCGAAACTCAGTGACTCTTCAGTTTCATCGTCTTGTAAGTATAGATTGTAAGAACGACTGACGGAACCATCAAGGACGCGAAAGCGATATTTACACGGCTCAACGTTCATGTACGGCCAAGGCTGACCGTTCACATGGATCACATCGCCCCAAAGTCCAGTGTTATTATGTGTATCGAAGAGAAGGGAGCCATCGGCGGCGTATTGTTTCGCACTCAAGGCCAATGGGATATCGTAATCGCCAGTTGGTAAGTCGAGGGCTTGTTCGTCTTCATCCGTTAAAAGATAGAAGCCGTATAGACCCATGTAGACATTCTCGCCAGTTTGACGCTCAGTGTGGTCGTGATACCAGATGGATCGCGCATTCTGTGCATTTGGATAATAATAATCCTTGTACTGGCCAGGATGAGCGTAATCGGCAGCCCAGCCATCGAAAGGGGCGCGGTTATACTGTCCATGGACGTGGACAGATGAGTTTGTGGGACTGTTGTTGGTGAAGCGAACCACAGCCTCTGAAGAACGTTGTCAGCATCGACCGTATCAACCAAACCAGCTTGAAGCTTACCTCGCCCTTTTCGCATCATGAAAGTTGGTCCTGGTGACAACCCATCATATGTGTATAAAGAGGTAGCTGGTAGATTAGGGTATATTTGTTTCGTGGCCGACTTGACTTCAACCTCGTAGTAATCGATAATGGCACCGGTAGTCTCATTGGTATATGTACTACCCCATGTTAATGCTAAGCTATATTCAAGGTACTGCCTCACTTACAATGTCGACTTCTTCACTGGGGGTACAGGTAGAGGATACTGGAAGATCCATGTGTATTCTGGACTGTCCCATCTTTCCGATTTGTTGTTCGGTGGTATCGTGTCGTATGGTGGCACGCTCGTCTCGCTAGGGAGTGCAATGAGAGATGACAAAGTCACGCTGGCTAAAGGAGTGGCATGTATGCTGTGTGTCAAACAGCTAACGAAAAGAAATGAACGAGTGACAAAGGGAGAAAACATATTGAGATGAAAAACCTACCAACTTGACGACACGTCCTCCGCGGCATCTCGAAAGCTTTAAGGGGAGAACGATAGCACATCTCATGCAACCACACTAGTCGTTTTCATTGACGTAGTATATCAGGACCAGTCCGTTCGATGAGACATGGCCAGCTGATAGATCCTGCGTCTCTGGCAGAACGAAGGACAGACGCAAGGACGTTTGTGGCTTACTCCCAGGTGCGTTTATCCGTATGTAGTGACTCCGAAATAGAAACATGATTCACCATCTCGGGAAAGGAAGTTCACGGAGAGTTCGCCCCATCGAAGATGCATGCTTTGGGTGATAAAAGCCAAGAAAAAGGAAGGCAAGGGGGATCTTCAACCAGTACGCCACAAGAATGTGGTGAGCGCCTGAGTATCTTCGGCATCAACAAATGTAGATGCGAGAAGATCAGCATGTGGCTTTCTCGGTCACTCAATAGATAAGACGGCTGTACAATTAGCGCGGTGGAAAAGTTGATGTTGTGAACGGCAAGCTGTGATGATCCGTGAACCCTTCTCGCGTGCAGACGGCGTCTAGTCCCAAAGCGACCGCACTAATGCTTTCTTTGGTTCCGCTTCCTCCTTACTTCACATGCTTTCCTTAGGGTAACCGGATTACTTCCAGCGCGCGAGACGTTGGCACTGCCTGTGCATGTGTGCTCTTATCTTTGGTTAACTCTTACAAGGCTTATGATTATAATGTCAGTCGCTCTCTCGTGCTATCCCATGCCCTCAACAACCTGGTTTTATATGCTGTGGCGCAGGCTAAGCAGCGCTATGCGTTCTCCGTTGCTCTTACTTCCACAAAAAGCAGATTCGCATCTATTCTCGAACATGGCCTGGGCGCTAACATGATGACGAGGCTGGAGGAGATCTCCTGATTCATTTGCATCTCTTGGTATGTCATGGCTGCCACATTCACGCCGTGCTTGTTGCTACACGGCTTCGGATACTGCGTTTTGTGGGGTCGCACAGCATACTCTCTGTACGCGGATCCGGGAGTTGCCACCGCGGACTGATGCAGGTGATCTATGAAGCGGCAATCGAGCATGGGAATCAAAAACGCATGATCGTCAGAGATGGACGTTGCCACGGTAGTGAACGCACACCATTATCTCCGGAGTTGGTGTATTGGTCTAAGCGATAACACGGCTATTGCCTGTGTTGAGACCTCTAAAGAGCTTATTCAACAGCGCGGACAAGCTCAACAACACGCACCCTTGTAAAGCCACTGACCAGTACATCGATTCGGAGAAATGCGTAATAAAGGTCAACAATCGGCGATCCGGATGACATTCTGACCCATAGACTGATCACTTCGTCGCTTCATTACTACATTCAGGCCAATCATGAGGGCGATACGTATTATTCTGGAATGGGAAGTACTTGGGCAGAATAATTTCCATGCATCAGACGTAATATTAAGCATAGAGAATTCACTGCTGAAGTCTGCTGAATCTTAAGCCGGATGTTAATTATAGTCCAGAGTGTACGCAAGAAGTTTCCCTCACAAGTAATCATCATGACTCTCATCAGCATGCCTATCAATATCCATGACCTCCATGATAGTAATCGCCATAGCCTTGGTCGTGTTCTCCATCATAGCCTCTACCATAGTATTCGTTATACTCTCCATCGTGACCATTGAATGCGCCACATCTTTCATGAAAGTCGGCGTCGTATCTGTCATACTAATCTCAGTCATCGAAGTGATCTTCATGGCCGCCGAAAAACAGGCCATACCCAGACCCTGTTTCCCATGCTTGACCTCGTATCTCTGCCAGGCCATGACCGTCTTCAAATCTTTGGGAAAATCCCATTTCGTACCCTTCCTTCAAACCAAAAGCACTACGGAAGGTGGACTGACGACCGCATGTACGGGCTTCGTCGCATTCCGGCATAGGGGCGAGGGGGAACTTGCCAGCTGGAGCAGGTTGTTCTGGAAGCCAGTACTGCGCTATAAAGTTACCATCTTTCTCGTCTTCCCAGTGGTGTGCCCATGGACCTTTATGGAAGGGTCGCGATGGCCGACTTGGTAAGTGTCGCTCATGATATCCTGCGGATTCGGTTTAGTTTCCATTGCTACTATTAGTGGCTTTTGGACAGTGGTATGTAACGATAGTCGATGATCAGAGAAAATGTTCAGACTCCCGCAGTAGAACTGCGATTTGATGGAAAGAGAAACAGTTAGAGAGTATGCATGCTATCAGCGTTTATATGATGATGCCACAAATTAGTGACTTTAGGATGTGCGGCAATGCTACTGAGAACATCGTACTATGCGTTGTGTCAACTTTGACTTATGTCCAATTTGGTGCCTTGATTTGATCGATAATTCATATGCTCATGGACCCCTGTTGCCAAATGTTGGCCCTCATCACAGTTCCCCTTCAATGTATGCTCAGTCAAAGTCATCGTCTACAAGAAACAATAGCTGACTACTTGTAAGTAATGGCGGATGTTGGTGAACACTAGGTGACCTGGAGGTTAGTAGCTTCATCTTATCAAATCGAGACATGAGTACCAAGACACTGAGTTGCAAACTTGATCAATGGAAGGCAAAGAGTGCATTTCGCAACCCCAATCTGTGGCTAGACTATTCAAAACAAGATCTCAGTAATGTGCATACCTGTCATACCCACCATAACCTGCATAGCCTCCAAAAAGTCCACGGTTTTCAAGTTCATCAAATCCCCATCAAAGTCGTGTAGATAATTCTTATCGTAGTTTGCGGAAGGGTCACCTAGGTTTTCCTGCTTGCGTTTCCGGTTGCAGCGGCTTCTGCGACCCATATTTTGGTTGTGTCTGTGAACAACAAAGGATAGCTAAGGTATCTGTTTATTGATGCTATAGAAATTCAACCAGCTAGTAAAAGCTCCCGAGTTTACGTAACTTGTATAAGCAGTATCATGATGAAACTGCGTCCGCTGACAACGGAGCTGAGATCTTGAACAAGTGACGGACACGGCGACCTTCGAGTACCCATTGATCATTTGTCCTCTCTTTTTGACAGCACAGCGGTATACCTGGCGTAAGTATCGAAGAGGTGTGTTAGTCATATTTGTGGTTAGGTGAGGCATATTGCGCACTCACTCAAGGTGCTTTGTTGCCATCTGTTCGCCGTGCCTCGCGCTCGAATTGACACTTATCTTGTTTTGGGTCGTTACTATCCATGTCAGCCTCATTCAGACGAATGCTGACTGAAGTGCTTTGCCACAGCCATCACACACACGCGGCTGCCGCGTCTCCTCTCGATGCCTCATAATCGTTCACAGTACGCATATCTGCAGCATGCCCTTCATGATCTTCCATGTGGAGACACAACCGACATCGAGCAACCCTGCCTGAGCAACAAGCAAGCTTGCCGCGATTACGACGCGCGTCGCCTTAGGTCTTGGTCTTGAGGCTGTAAAGGATCCAACGCAATCGTTGCAAAGAGAACGCAAGCCTTGCCGTCGGCCTCATAACCAAATGGAAACTATTCCCGACCGGAAAAAAACGAGAAGCTTGATTTCACGCGTAGTTGCCGCAAATATCCATGTCTCGTTCGTGCAGCGCGGGTCCATACGGTCCGAATATAAAGGCCCGAGGCGGCTGATCAGTCCTGGCGATCTCGATCGTGGAGTCACGATACATGTGACCTCACGTAATACTGCGATCGAAATTCGTGGGTTCATCATACCGAACAGCGGCTGGGCTTTCTTATGACGATGGTAAGCATAGTAGTACCTGATATCGGGCAGTCTACCTTGAATTCATCCTGGTGAACAAGGTGCCATGTCAGCTCAACCCAACGTCTGGCTTAGCATTTTGCTTGAATTCCTCGATCATGCAGTCTTGCACATCCCTGAGGGACTGGTGATTGGCTTCAATACCTGCCCTTTATGGGCAGTGTCCGTGGTTGCATGCATGTATTTCCCAAAGCACTTAGACGAAAAAAAGTTGCCGTAAATGTTAATTTGACTACACCAGGAGTGAGCATTAAGGAGCAGGCTTTGTGTATCTTGTTTTTGACATGTACCATATACCCGGGAGTAGATTGAGACTCCACGGTCACGCTCAGAGAGACCTGAGTTTCGTTGTCGGACTGGACTGACCTTCGTCGTCAGCAATGACAACGCCCAGCCGCTCTACTACCAGCATTGTAGATTGCACATCGCCTAACTTGACCAAGCCACGGAGGACTGAGTGTGGTGAATCGATGGGAGTATTCAGCGATAAGTCGGTGAGAGGATTGACCACACCCTCCACAAAAGTCCAGCGCGGCGTTGCGGGGTTAAACATGTGCGGCTCTGATGTGGGGATACGAAGGCACCTCGTCGTCATGTACATTCACTGCCGTCCTGGTATGATGCATGCCTCGGCATGTATAAGGCAGCCGTGGCTTGACATGCAAAAAGTGTTATAGACGGTACACTAGCGTAGCGTGCTTCTGGACTGTTGCGCCTGAACGAGTCTAGATATTTACATGGTGTTTTCGTGTTGCTAGGTATCCGTCCCCAAAAGAGCGGCGGAACGCAGAGGATATCTAACCAGAAGGAGTTAGCTCGTGGTACAAATCCCGGCGATGGCAGCCCAACCGCCACTGACGTAGTTTCTCTTCATCGTCATTTTGATTTCTCGATCTCCAGCCCTTTTCACATGCGAACCTAATTGGCGTTCCTGAAACACATCTCCACCGTTCCTGGACGTTCCTGGATTACGTTTCGCTTACAAATTGTGCAGAATGTAGAGTGAGGAGGACCTGATCTTTCGCCATGATCGAAATTGACTTTTGTGAGACGAGAAATCAACGGCGACCTGATCCCTGGGCCGTGATGAGCCATGACGAAGGGGGTCGTCATGCCGCCGATGCATCTACGCTAGCTGTGGTTTGAACCAAAGTTCTCAAAGTTATGGCGTGAGAAGTGGCTTGTAAGGTAAGCGGTGAAAGAACGGCAAGCCAACGGCCACGTGCATCGAGGTTTGTATGCTAGCAGCTGACAGCCGTTCAGCGAGTCGAATTGGACAGCTTACGCTAATGGCTTTCGCGGCATGTCGAGCGCTTCATGAAGTGGAGGCGAGTGTTGATACGACATACCGTATACCGTAATGTGCGACTTCACAAAATACCACCGGTTACTCATCATTACCTTGACTATACATACTAAAGCACCAATCGTGCTTAGAGGCTTGAGGTGGGCCGTCTTGCTCATTGCATTGTAACCGAACCTAGAGGATTGGGTAATAGAACGGCTCGCAACAGACGGAGAACAGTGCTATGCAAGCGTTGACTAAAGGCGCACGAAGGACCAAATGGAATCTTCGAACATTCGATTTGATATGATTTTCCTGATCTCCATGAACGGCAGACATGTGATCTACAACGTTATCGAAGGTCCACGAGTGAGAGATCAGGTCTGCACCACCCTCTCAGTCTCCAAATTCCCTTGGTTCTCACGGCAGACACATACTGTACAGCACACCCTGCATCATGTCCGTCAGCATGCGCTATCAGGATGCTACAACCGTCGCACACCACTCATCCATTCTTCACAACATTATCGATGACCGGAATCTCGCAAACAGCCGATGCCGAATCCCTGCATAATTCTTGACCCACACACATGGCATTTATTCGGCATCTCAGATCCGTGAAGGAAGGGGGCACGGGGCACAAACCTACCACACCACACCAACCAACGGCGCTCGCATCAAAAGACGCAGGGAAGCCGAACCAAAAACGAAATAACACGGCGATAAGGAAGACCCTGTTTTTTGGTGGAAATCCTCTGAGATCTTGAGCGGGCTGTGCAAAAATAGCATGCGCTGTCAAGCTAAACTCGGATCAGTTTTGTTGTTATCAACATTTGCGAATTTGTGATTCAAAGGATACGAGTTGTCGCTGTATTGGTGGAGTTCGGCACAACTACCTAGCGCCCTAAATCACAACAACCCAAAACCATGCACAACGTGTATGCACATTCCCGCGAAACCAGAAACATGCGCAACACTCGACAATCGACGGTTCCCTTCTCTATCCAGCATCTCCCCCAAACACCACTTTCAGCCAAGATCACCACCCGGTACACTTCACCTCATCTAGCAACATGTTATGAAGATCCTTCAACCGGCTGCGGGGCTATCAAGCACACAACGAGTAATTAGCTTGGCAAATCTCCGTTCTAACATAGCCGTCAACAATTCAGATATGTCGATCTTTCCATCCTCCAGGGATACCTCTTTGTTCGACAGTTTTACGCGAACGCCAACGCCGAATGATCACCATCAGAAAATCTCAGGTGATGGCAGTGGTGTGTTGGCGATGATCAAAAATGCTGCCAACGGCCCGTCTAAACCTGCTTTTTTTCTCCTTTTGATGATTTGATCGCGATCAGCCAGTCCATTCAGGCATGGTAAGTGCCGCTGTAGGCGAAGCGAGAGTGCAACTGCAGCCATAGCGTAGCGTACATGCCTTACAGTAGTCCATCGAAGTATGCAAAGTGGGTTGGAAAATGAAGAAGATTCAGGGTCCGCTCGCACGGCGCACTATATGCGTTGGTCAACGTTAGTAACGTGGAGTGATGTGGGGAATGATTTGTTTGTGCTGGATGCATTAGGAAAGCACGGAGAGGCAGGAAAGTCACGTTAGCGGTCGTTGCGACTCGTACAACACACATCACACCCGCTCTTTTCGGCCACTAGTACATGGCTGAGTGTTTCAGAAAAGCGAATGCGGCCGCGCTGGATACGGGGTGGTTTTCAATGGGGCGAAGAATGGGGAAGGTCCTGTTCGGGTAGGTCGGCATCTCGCGTGGTACCATTTGGATACAGCGGAGAAAGGTACGAGGTATGTGGTGGCAGTGTTGAGAGGAGAGAGTGAATTGTAGATGCTGTGGTATATTTATGACGACGTAGGCGTAAGCATTCTAGAGGAATTCCAGAGACTTGTTGGGCCAAAAGGCTACTGGCACGATTTGATGTAAGATGATGTGATATGACTAAGTTGAATTGCTAGCTACATGAGAAAAAGACCCGTCATCTGTCCAGCTCAACACCACTGGTGGAGCGCTTACAGTGAAGCTATGGACAGGCGAGATGCTATACGTATATGCTATCGGGGAAAACGTATTTGGGTATTTGATAAAAGCGACTGGTGCCACGCTCCAGCACTTGGAGGTGATTGAAGAAGAAGAATGTGCGAGTTCGTGTTTGCCAGAGCGACCGTTCCATCCGTCTACGTCTATGTTGTGTTCGATTCGAGTGCTAGTTTTCGTGTTTCTGATGGTAATGAATAACGCCGTTCATGCTCCATGCCGTGGGGTAATATGACTCCGGGAATGTATAACAAAAGGAAAAAGGAAGAAGTGACTACTTTTCTCGGTGTCGTGTCCGAGCAGCAGTTACGGAGTGGCTGTGTATTTGTTGCTGACCGGTGAGTCAACTGCCACCAACAGACGTAGCCCGGCCAGGGGAGTACTCTCCTCTTCGACGAGCTTCCTCACGGATGTACTTCTCAACGTGCTGATCGGCCTCGGCTCGGCTTACACCAGCGGTAAGGTAGCCGCCGGCATCTTCTTCAAGTTCCAATGGAGTGACTACTCCAGGGCTGGCTAGAGGCTCTAGACGAGGGCTGGTCGGCTTTGGTCCAAAGCCCCTAGTTTGACGGCTGGTGTTGGCGAGAAGTTGTTGCTGGTAGAGGTACATCTGTCTCTGAACCTCGTACTGTCTGTTGCTTGATCGAGGTGACGCGGGCGAGTTAGGGCTGTCAGGGCCAGCAACGGGTGTGTTTGCTTGACTTGAGCCTTGCGAGGAGGCATAGTTTGCTGGGTGGAAGCGGGGCAGAGAAGGGAGCCTCAGATGTGCAGCAGGCCCGGTGCTGCTGGATTGTCGTGGGTTCATTGCTGGTCGACGTCTAGCCTGAGAGGGAATGTCGAGAGGCTGTGATCTGGGCGAGAGAGGCGAGCTGATAGCAGGCATGCTGCGGTCTGCTGTTCGAGAAGACATGTTTTGGTGGGAGGTATCAGATCTAAAGATGACTCGCGAAAGGGAAGGCGAGGTCGGCGGAGATCGCATATGACGTGTGGCGAGGAAACCTCGTGTGTACTTGGGAAGTGAAAGGGTGCGGCTCCAGGGAGGCTGCTATATGAATTCCCCTCAGATGATGTGAGGAGAGAAATGATCGAAAGATAAAGTACCGTGCTTCCGAGCAACAACGCACAGAGCAGCGGCGGTGTCTAATATATCTAACAGCGGGAGGGTCCAGCAAGGCTTGGGACTTGGTGGCAGGCCTCGGGGATGGTAGCCGATCTTATTGGAAAGGTACAGCGTTGATCTTCCGCTTGGAGGCGCACCGTCGTGCGGTAATCGTTCCTGAGAGGGTAACGACGTGATGCACGGCTCAAGTGGATCCCGTTTCAATTTGGTGGAAGCACGAGCGCTTGTTACTGGCAGCACACCAAGCCGGTGTCTATCAGTTGCAACAGGTGGCTGCGGGCCGGTTATGGCGGAGTACAGATGGCGCGTGTGTTTTCCCGAAACTTGGGGTCCACAATCAAAGTAAGCTGGAGTGCGTCGGCTAGTTTGAGGATGGCGCAGATGATTGAGAATTGTTGCTGGGCTGGGAGAGCTAATCTAACAGGTGAGTTGGAATGTGTGTGGTACCAAGTCCTCCTTTACATATCAACGGAGGACGAGGCCGTAGCTACGAGGCGCGCCATATTTGCAGGCGCTATTATCTCGTCATTAAACTTCGCAGGCCTTGGTTTCGCTCTTTGAGCGGGGCGCTCTTTTCCTGCCTCGCTAACCATGCGAATCGTCCAACACGCCTACTTGTGCAGCATGTCCATTATGACGCAGTGCAGCAACCGGCTCCTTTCTAAGACCGAACACGTGCCAGCCTTGGAATTCCCGGCGCTAAACGCGTGGTGTGAACACAGCACTGCAGACTTCGATCAATTGCCCTGCAGCTCGACCATCGTGTGGTAGGGCACCGTTGCATCTGCACCGGAGCCCTGCCGTAGGTTGCAGAAACGTCCTTTTTATTTTTCGCATTAGGCTTCGCGCGCGTGCTCCATCAAAGTACGGTCTGATGAGACAAATGGTAGCGCGTACAAGACATGACACCACCACACTGGCAGCAACGCCAAGTTGCTTCGACCTTGTGAACGCCCAACAACTGCGGCATTCTTCGCAAACAGCTGTACGGATATTGGCCTGAATCAGATCGCGAGAACGGGTCGTCATCTATAATGCGTCTTTTTCGCTGTCTATCCCGAAGTTGACCCTAACTTCGCCGAAAAATATATAGGCCATAGTGTTTTGAGCGCGAGCCGCTCGCACGGTACAAACAAAGCTGCACAATCCCATAACACCCAACATGATGGAACTACCGTCTAGACGGACAGCCGCTGGAGCCGCTCCTTCGCGCAATTCTTCCATCCTCTGCTGAGCACTTGCACTGACCGATGACGCCCATGCAGAAACCTTGATGTATGTGGCATTTGCTAGAGGGATCCGGCTATCTTCGCCGCACTACAATGCCGTCACTTAGTTCTGTCTCGGGCACAAGGAGAAGAGGCTTAGCGCGGCGACTAAATGGACCATCTAATCAGTTCAGTCATGCATCTAGTTGCAATGGAGAGAGTAGTACTTCCAGCCGTGGTAAAAGTTGCACCACGTGGTAGATCTCCCGTACGCGGCCGAAGGCTATATAATACTCTAGCCGCCAGAGTAGCCCGGGCAAATCAAGTCAGCACAAACATTACTAGGGGGAGCAAGAGCAACCAAAATTGAGGTTTGATGCGAAACACCGAGGCAAATTAACGGCAAACAAAGACTGCGTTGAGAAGGTGACAAGTGGTGAAGGCACCAACGAAAATGTCTTGGTCACTCATGCTACCTGCAGAAGGCCAGCCTTGCCATGAAATTGATTGATTTGTTGGTTGATGTCTGTCTCTGCAAGCCTTGCTCAGTATCATCTCGCGCCCAGCTTCTCCAACGCCCTCGCGCCTTGTTCCTCCCACTCGGCCTTTGATATCCACATGTTCTCTTTGTCGGCCATGATGTTCGCGAGCACAGCTCCACCGAGGAAAACCATGTGCCTTCGCCGTGGCGGATCTTCGATGCGGACCTTGAATTTCTGCCTCCATGTTAGCATTGCTTAGCTGGACACGTAGATATGTACCTACGTTGAGTCGCTCCGGGTTTCCGCCCAGAACCTTGGTGAGCCATAGCTGCTTGAGCTCCTTCTCAAGCCGACTGGGAAGACCTGGGTACATGCTGCTACCACCGCTGAGCACAATAGCCTTGTAGAGACTGCTCCTGACATCAACATCGGCAGCTTGGATCGTGTTGAATAGGAACTCGGCGATACCGGGCTGCTCGACGTCCACAAGATGCGGCTGGAACAGACATTCGGGAGCCTCAAAGCGCTCACTGCCCACCCGGATGACCCGACCATCTGGTAGGGTGTAGGACTCTACCAAGACGGTCGTGTCTTCGCTAAGGCGCTGGTCCAGCTCAAGGTCGTATGAGACATAGCAAAGCTTCTCCTTGATCTGACGGACGGTCTCGAAGTCGGCAGTTCGGTTGAGGGCGTAACCTCTCCGCAGCAGAAGAGCGATGAGGTTGCGGGTCACGTCGCGTCCGGCAACATCGAGACGACGTGTGAGATGATTGAGGACGGTGCTCTCGTATACGGGGACAATATGCGTGACACCATCTCCTGAGTCGACTACCACGCCGGACGACAATCCTTGGGCGTATAGAGCTAGAACGGCCTGGATTGCCACGTATACACCCCCAAAGCCGTAGCGCTCAAACATGACTTCACACATGGTTTCGCGGTTCTTGAGCGGGTTCATGGGCGGTTCGGTGAGGAGGATCTTGCGGCCGGTAGGGTCAAGGTTCATCTTGTCGTAGAAGGTGTAGTCCCAGACGTGTTGCATGTCATCCCAGCGCTTGACGATGCCATTTTCCATCTATTGGGCGAGACACTGTTAGCTCGCTCATGGCATGCAGAGGTCCGGGTAGTGCACATACAGGGTACGTGATCTGAAGCATTGAGCGCGCTGCCGCTGCCTCGTCACCGCACATTATGTCCTTGAGCTGGATGTCACCGCCATCTCGCTCTTCGGTTCGTAGGATAGGTCGGCCGACTATTGAGGGAAACTGGTGGTCGGGGAAGTTCTAAAGAGTAACATGTTAGCTTTTGCCATGTCACGTCTGGCGCTTTGTATGCCACATACCTGCCCGGCGTAACCCGCCTTGAGGAAACCCGTACCGCCATCGAGGACTAATTGAAGGGTAAGTAGAGCTCCGAACACAGAAGAGGAAGCTGCGCATACCAATGGGAGCTTCAGCCATCCTGTACAAAGCTCGAGAGGGTTGTTGAGGCTGAAGGAGTGGATGTTAGAAGCTGGCCGTAGCTCGGTGTTGCGTGCCTTGAGGTTGACGACGTTGGCGGGGCGCATGGTTGGCTAGGGGTCCGTGAGCACTCAATCGGGCAATGCAGATGCTCCCCTACAACTTGAGATGCGAACTTCACTTCAAGAATGTTAGAGTATGCAAAAGTATTACAATAGATGCACATGGAAACAAGACGAGTACAGTGCAGCATATATGATATGTCACGTCCCCTAAGGCCGCCGGTCCGGTGCACAAGAGACGTGTCTCTACTACCTGCTTCCTGTGCGCGGAATAACCAAGTCACTACACCTACAAGCCCTCTATTACACCAGAGCCTGTAAACATCATCTATGCTTGTTCCAGTTTTGTCGTTGACGACCGAGATGGTGGTCACCCATCTCATGCCACTTGCATGGTCACCCACCTGGGAAGTCGCGACTTGCGCATCGCTTAATACATGGTCCGAGCGTCCACTGCCCACTTCAATATCGTCTTGCGCCATCACGAACTTTCTCCTCAGCCAGTTCAACTAACAGCAGGTCAAGATGCCTTTCGTAAGTACGCCCTGAATTGCGCCCGCAATGTATCCCTCCATCCTATTGCCATCACGGCATCCCGCTTCGACGAAAGTCGAGTGGAGTCTTTGCGAGATGCTTCGAATGCGGGTTTGAAGCGCCAATCGCTGACTCTGTCAAAAGTCCAAGCTCCAGAAGAACGACGCCTACTTCTCGCGGTACCAAGTCAAGTACAAGCGCCGCAGGCAGGGAAAGAGTACGTATCCAACGAAGTGTTCAAATTGCGACGGCATCTAACAATCCGCAGCCGACTACTATGCCCGCAAGAGGTTGATCACCCAGGCCAAGAACAAGTACAATGCGCCCAAGTACCGTCTCGTCGTCCGTTTCACCAACAAGGACATCATCTGCCAAATCGTCCACTCTGAGATTGGCGGTGACAAGGTCTTCTGCGCTGCCTAGTATGTTCCACGCGACTCTGGCTCCGTCTAGCCCACAACTAACAAATCACAGCGCCCACGAGCTGAAGGCTTACGGCATCACCCACGGTCTTACCAACTGGTCCTCCGCATACGCTACCGGTCTGCTCCTTGCCCGCCGTGTCCTCAAGAAGCTCGAGCTTGACGAGGCCTTCACTGGTGTTGAGGAGGCTGACGGTGAGTTCACCCTCACCGAGGCCGCCGAGGTTGATGGCGAGGAGCGCCGCCCATTCAAGGTCTTCTTGGATGTCGGTCTCACCCGTACCTCCACTGGTGCTCGTGTCTTTGGTGCCATGAAGGGTTGCTCCGACGGTGGTGTCTTCGTTCCTCACTCCGAGAACCGTTTCCCCGGTTACGACATTGAAGGCAAGGAGCTCGACGCCGAGACCCTCCGCAAGTACATCTTCGGTGGTCACGTCGCTGAGTACATGGAGACCCTCGCCGACGACGACGAGGAGCGCTACAAGTCTCAGTTCAGCGGCTACATCGATGACGATATCGAGGCCGACGGTCTTGAGGAGCTCTACCAGGACGCACACAAGCAGATCCGTGAGGACCCCTGGAAGAAGGAGGATGGCGATGCCCCCAAGAAGTCCAAGGACGAGTGGAAGGCCGAGTCCAAGAAGTACAGGAGCAACAAGCTCACCAAGGCCGAGAAGGAGGAGCGCGTCAAGGCCAAGATCGCCGAGATCACCGCTTAAGCTGTTGCTTCCTCTTCGTGATAGTTTGTTTTACCATAACAAAAGCAAGGCTCTGGCGTCTGGGGATGACATGGGAAGGATGCCTGCCATAGCAGGATACAAGTACTGTACTTAGCCTCACGACCTCAATGAGATGATGAGACGGCACGCCGACATTGGCTACCACAACAAGATACCCCCTCAAAACAAATGTGCCCCTCCTGTTCAACGTGTGTGAAGCTTCCCCAAATAGCAACACGTGATACGCCCATGTGGACCGGCGACGGCCGACACCACATGGCGTGCTGTCGCGGGTTTGACCATGGTTGAGAGACCAACACGGCTTGCTTTTCATGTGCTGCCATGACGGTCAGCTGTTTCAGCGGCAACGGTAGCACCTGCGAGGGACATATAGCAGTCAGCGCTTTATTGGACGCGGTGCATCAGGCTGAGGGAGAGTGAGAGTGAGGCATGTGGATATGTGCCGATTCAGGGTGTGCGATTCAGGGTGTTTCAAAGAGATGTAGCCCACAAGTATATAGGCAATCCTCGCAGTCGATCATGATGTCCCGCAGGATCTTTGACGCGATAGAGCTCGGTGTGGAGAGGAGAAGGAGACCCGAAGCAATCAGCCGACACCTTTCGTCATCGCCCGGCTCTCGCAGCTTGCACACAGCAGCGCACGTTCGCCCATAACATCGCATCGGCCGAATATCGCACAGAGCAACTCTCAGAAATCGCGCAGCAATTTGACGTGAGCGCAACGAGTCGTTCAGGTCGCATCTAGAACGTGGGCAACGGCCATATCTTGAGGCTTTGCAGCATTTCCAATCGGCGGATTCGTGTGGACGCCCAGAGACCCCGCTGACTTCCGTGATCGCCTCACGGAGGCCATTTGCTGCAACAACCCTGACGCATGGCGAGGCCCCTATATACGCAATGACAGCCATTCAGACACCCGTCGACACTGCGTCAGCCATGGAGGACATTCACGGAGTCGATGTATCGTGGCTGCACCACTCAACTAGAGGTAAGTGAGGCCCGCTTACCCTGGGTGGAGACGTCTCGGCTTCGCGGCGCAACCCTGAGCTCGAGAGGCCGTACTAACATGTTGCGCCTGAGCAGACCATCACCATCGCCAGCAGGCGCCCTCGTCGCCAGGCCTCACCAGAGATGCGCCTCCAAAGACATCGTCGCATGGTGGCATACCCGCCAGGCCCCGCCACGACGAGCAGCAAATTCCTGAGCCGACACCGGCGACTGCGAGACCCGCATCACCGCCGCGCCCGCCCCCAGCTGCTGCATCCAGCGCGACTCCGCCCCAGAAGATACCACCAAAACGTCCAGCGCTGCTCAGCCGAGGCAGTGCCGACAAGAACGCCAGTGGAACCACGCCACCCGACTCAAAGAACAACTCGCGCCGCAACTCGTGGATGAATAGCATCAGCTCAAAGTTCTCGTCGCAAAACTCGCCCGCGCAAACCACACACACTCAGGCCCAGGGATCGCCTGCCGCTGCCAATAGCGCCACTCATGCTTCTCCCTCGGCCAACGGTGCTCTGAACGGCATCCAGGCGGCATCGGGAGGCAGCAATGGCGCCCCTGAGCCCTACATCCCACAACAGCCCAAGAGCTCCTTCGTTGGGAACGTGCTGCGACGCCTGTCATCAGGTACACAGGTTGGCACCGCCGGCAAGGTCTACCCAAATGGAGGAATGTGCCCGCGAAAGGTCATGAATGTCGACCCCAACCGCGAGCGATGTCTCGTTCCTGAGCTGGATCAGAACAAACTGCGCAAGGTTGCATTCTGTGTCGATGTTGAGATTGCTGGAGGGCCAAAGTACAAAGATGACGTCGAAACAGACGACAAGAAGGTGAAGCGCAAGGACAAGAAGTTGAAGGAGCGTGGCGAGGGCGAGGCACTGAGGAACCCAGATGCTGTGGCCGAAGAGAAAGACAAGGATGGTGTCGTCGCCATTGCCCAAGAAGTCGTCGGCAACGATTCTGAGCCAAATCCCGAGGGCACTGTCTTGGACGAGGACAAGCAGGAACCAAGTAGGAAGAAAGAGAAGAAGAAGCGATCTGAGGCCGAGCGCAAAGAGCGGAAAGAGAAGAAACGCAAAAAGGCTGAAGAGAATGGCACAATCCCCATGGAACTCACCAGAGATGACGACAGCGCCAGTGCTGAAGGAATACCTGCTGCTTCCGGGGCACCGACTCCCCGCGCTCAGGACCGTCCGACGATCGACCCACTGCGCATCTACCGGAGATGTTGCCAGCTTCGCGAGTCTCCCATTCTCAAGCGCATCAGTGACCAGCTTGCGGCACCACGGGCGTGCTCCGTCGTTCAACCGGGCGTTGTCACTTGTCTGGATCTGACAGGGTCTAGATTGCAATTGGCAGATGTCTTGACTCTTTCCGACTGGCTCGCTATTGTGCCGGTTAAGAAGCTGTTTTTGGAGGACGCAGACTTGAATGACGAGAAGATACGGGTCATACTCGCAGGTCTCCTGGCCGCCAAAGTCCCAGAGCCTCCAAAACGGCGCGATCCGTCCAATGACGATACCCAGGACGGACTGTGCCAGCAAGGCTCATGCGCGGTCAAGAAGCTGGTTCTCAAGAACAACCCAAAGATCACAGCTGAAGGCTGGAAACACATCGCACTGTTTCTGTACATGTGCAAGTCCATCATGGCCATCGACGTGTCCATGATACCATTTCCCAGGTCTCGACCACAGGTGGCTTCTCCGCCAACTAACAGCACACAAGCACCGTCTCCCACCAAGGACAGCAGATCGGGAGATGTGGCTGAAATCTTTTCCAAGGCTATTTCCGAACGGTTGGGCGGTTCAGAGCTCCAAGAACTAGCCATGGCCGAATGCAACTTGACCTCCTCGAGCATCCGCAAAATCATCGACGGCTGCGTCATCAGCGGCATTCAACGTCTAAGTCTCGCGACGAACGATATCGACGCCGAAGGCTTGGAACATGTTCTGCATTACTTGCGCTCTGGTGTCTGTCAAGGAATTGATCTTGGTGGAAACGACCTACGATCATTGATGGACAAGATCTGTGACAGCATCAAGCACTGCCAAAACAGTCCGCTGTGGGCACTGTGCTTGCAAGACACTGGTCTCACCCCAGAAGCGCTCAAGACACTCATACCAACTCTAATTTCCCTACCATCCTTCAGGTTTTTGGACCTGTCGCATAACAGGGGTCTTTTCTTGGGCCAGACTTCGTTGTGTCTTCTGAGAAAATACATGCCTCAGTTTAAGGAGCTGAAACGGATACATCTGGTGAATGTCGACATGAAGCCCGAAGATGCTATCGCTATCGCGGAAATTCTGCCGGATTGTCCTCATATCGCACATATCAACATCCTTGAAAACCCGGAGATCACTCGTGTTGCAACTTCAACAGACGAGGAGACACAAGAAGAGGCTGCCGCACTATATGCATCGCTGACTCTGGCGGCTAAGTTATCCAAGTCGCTTATATGCATCGACGTGGACATTCCAGCTCCTGAACAAGGCGAAGTGATCAAAGCACTTGCGAAGCAAGTCGTAGCTTACTGCTTACGCAATATTGAATCCATCAACGAAGTGCCAGAGCTCCGAGCAGCTCCGAAAGAAGTCGAGGTTCCCGATATTCTCATGCGTCTTGTTGGTCCGGAGGACAGTGACTACAAGGAAACCGATAACGCGTCAGATACTGCGGACAATGACTACATCGTTGGGGGCACAGGCATTGCTAAAGCGCTCAGCTACTGTCTCTCTCATAAGGAGACCGATCTTCGCCGAGTGTCAGTCCCAGTCAGTGGTACCTCTACTCCGAGGAGTAGAAGCAGGGTACCAGTGCTTGAGGAGCCAAGCAAGGCCAGAGCCATGTCCAAGGATCTCCTCGAGACAGCACGGAATACGCGAAATAGGATTCAGCCTGCACTTATCAGAGAGGCGAAGGGTGGCAATGACCTGAGCTACCGTAAGTTTCATGATCTTTCCGTCGTACCGATGTGGCTAACATGTTGATAGGTCGTTTGCTTTTCCTGGACCAAACACTTCAAGGCATGATCCAACGCTTCGAAGACGAATACCCAGAAACGCGTCTTCAGCCATCTGATGCCGCTTCTACTACAAGCTCCAAACTCAGCAGCTCACCGCCCACTTCCGCTGTACCGACACTCGAGAACAGTGTGTCGACAGACTTCACAGCTGCTGAATCAGACGAAGACGAGCCCTCTACCCTACGCTCACGCCACAATTCCGATGTCTCTCTCGCATCTCGCCATATGTCGCTTGAGGAAGGACGTCTTCACCGATTTGGCCACCGCGTACGCACCGGTCTTCTCAACCCGTCACGTCCCACGACTCCCGACGTCTCCGAGAATCACGTCTCCTTCATCTCAGGTACGGCAGATGACCAAGGCCTTCCCGAACACCTTCTCGCCATGCGCGCGTACTTCCAGAACCACAGTGGTGACGAGATGAGGCAAATGATTGAGGGTAAAGGCTGGGAACAGGCTTTCAATAGCGTTGTGGAGAACGCTGAGGAACTGAGGAATCTCGAGAAAGAGGACCCACAGCAATTTAAAATCTTCAAGGAGAGTCAAATTGCAGCCTTGAAGAATCGCAATCCGGATATTTTTGCACCAGGAGAAAGGGAGGGGACGAATATGGAGGGGAATCGGGGGGATGACTTTGCTATCGAGGACTAATTATGAGGTGGGGAGTTCAGGAAGGGCTGATGGGAGGATTGGTGGTTACTGGGAAGTGTAATCAGTATAATTTCTCCACCGTTGACTTGAGCTTGAAGGTTGAGGCGCTGGAGCGCGCCCATCAGCTCAAGAGTTCATTCTTTGTAAATTTGTAACATACAGCTACATGACATGCTGATTCAACTATGATTCCCATATCACGATGTCTCTATCCTCGACAGCTGAAACACGTCACATCCGTTTCCTGCTATTCGTTGCGTTTTCCTGGGTCATCTCTTCTCGGCTTGATAGCCTCGTAGCCACAGTCTCAGATATGAAGAGGCTCTTTTGCCTTCCTGTTTTCCTTCTGATTCCCTCTTTTTTCTTTATCACACCCTTACTGAACTATTACTGGAAACTTATTGCTCCAGATACATGACTTGGCAGTTCTTTTCACCCTCGGCGCCTGGGTAGTTTGATTCTGCAGTAGGTATTTAAATTGGATCTATGGCGTGGTAGGTGTCGGCGTCGGTGTTAGTAGTGGTATAGGAACTGACTGAGCCATCTATACCGGCACCTCCGTCTCCAACGCTGCAGATTGGCTCAGTCGTCCCTGGGAACTTATCTGGAGACTGATGTTGTGGCGAAGGTCGCTCGTGGTTGTCGCGACAGTAGTCCAAAGGCGCTTGCGTCGCGTGCGCGCATGATGGGGCAAACATGTCACATCGTGACAATACTCGGACGCTGTTTAGACTGGAGCAGAGGGATGACGGTTCTAATGTGAGTTGGATACGAAGCTCGATCATGTGTTGATCAGGCAGTGAGCTTATCAGGACGACGTCCGGTTCTCAGCTCAATATATTAGGGTTCAGAGGAAGGGACTTTATTGCCTCGACCCTAGCCGTAACGGACCAGTATGCATATGTACATCATCATCTGTATACGCGAGCTAGGGTGTCGTATTATAGATCGAGTTGGCGAGGATAACGCTCAGATCGGACCAGGGAAATGACGATGTTTCAGAGAGTGGCACGACATGTATCAGAAGATCAAGAGCATATCGTAGTCAAGGGAGGTAGGCAAACGCGCCAAATCAACATCGCCATTTGGCCATCAGGCTCCAATATATATTGGCACTACCACCAAAACCATCTACATGCTTTCTAAGGATATCATAGCTTGAGCAAGTTACATGCCCACGAACACTTCTTCTAAAAGATAACCCAAGCAAGCGAATGACGTGAAATAATGCTGGAAAGATGCTTATGTGTCGTGTGCAATTCAACGAACATCATATACAAGATAAAAAGAAACCACCGGGACTCGCCCAAGCAGCACTACGATGCGTGAGTGGATAACCAGTGGAAGAGAAAAGATAACTTCCTTCACACCATTATGCACATATCCGACTCTTTCCAGTAAGGGTAGAGCCTACAAGAAGGGTAGCACTACACCCTTTCTTATTGGGCTTCCCCTGCCATCGACAGTGCTACCTTCAGCGCTGTATCCGGAATCGCGATCGACGTCGTCGTTGTCAAAGTCGATGTCAAAATCGGGCTCCTTCTCTTCCTCAGTCTCTTCGTCATCGTCGCCATCCCAGGCCTTCTGTGTCGCACCGCGCGAGTTCCATCGTAGTGTGCGGCTGATGCTATCGAACCATTCGGTTGGCTGCGAGAGTACGGTAGGAAATGGGTACTGCGAAGCGGCGATGGTGACGTGGTCGCCTTGACGGAGTTCGACACGGCCCTTGCCGTCGAAGGCGCAGTAGGCGGTAGCCCGTGACTTGAGAGGTACTGCGATACGGAGGAGCATGCTGTCGTTAAGCAGCATGGGGCGGAAGGAGAGAGTATGCGGGCAGATGGGTGTCAGGAGGATAGCGGGAATATCCGGATGCACGAGAGAGCCACCTGCAGAGAGCGAGTATGCTGTTGAACCGGTAGGCGTCGAGAAGATAACACCGTCTGCTTGCACAACGGTAAGCAGGTTGTTATCGCCGTAGAGCTCGAGGTTCGAGACGTAGGGTGATGGGCCGCGGTCAATGACAAGCTCGTTGAGTACCTCGAATTGTTCAGCTTCGATGTGCTGAGGTGATCCTTGGGCAACGTTCTTCTGGTAGCGGTATACTGTGCAGGTGAAGCGCATGCGCAGATTCACACGCATACCAGTCTCGCACATGATCTTGTCGAGCGCTGGCCTGTACTGCGCGAATTCGAAGTTTGTAAGGAAACCAAGGCTGCCGAGCGAGAAAGACAGAATCGGCGGTACGATGCGCTGGAAGAGCCACGAGGTGAAAAGTACGGTGCCGTCTCCACCAAGAGTAAGAACAAGATCGAAGATCTCTGGGGTTTCCCAGCACAGGTCTGGTGTCCACCAACGAAGCATATTCTCGTAGCGTTTGTCTTTGGCTAGCAAAGAGGCAGCATCGAAGCGCTTCGACTTGCGCAGCTTGTGGTCTACGTAGACGTTCACTCCAATGTCTGAGCCGTAGCGCGAGGTAGTCATGAGCCATTCCGCCAACTCGCGCGTAAGGTATACAAGGTTGTTGTCACGAGCCTTGGTAACAATCATGACATTGCGTACCGTCATCTTGATGGGTCGACGTTGCAGTTGCTTCGATACCTCACGGACACTGTTCGCAGTCTGCACGAGTCTTGAATGCGATATTGTGTCATCCTCGGACATCTCTTCCATGACCTTTCCCAGGTTCACAGCCTTGTCAAACTTCTTATGGAAAAAGCATGGCGATGCGAGCGCAGCCATCTTGCTTGCAGAAAGGTCCGCAGAGTGCAATTCAAGTTCGGAAAGCGCTTTTGCAAGTTGCGAATGAGTGATGCTCTTTGATCGCGCATTCTTCCCTCCGTTCTCTGAGCCTTCCATGACGGAATCCATGGACTGTTGTGTCGCCGACGAAGGCGGAGGCCGAGACTGTAACGCCTTAAGAAGAGTCTGGCGGGGTATCGCGGAGTCGATTGATTGCGCGTTCTTGCGGTGCTTCCGAACGCGGTTCTCACCAAAAGACGGGATGCGCGGGAGGACGGAGAGGTTCTCGATGGAGGAGGACTTGCTGATAGCGGTGGGGTCTTCTTTGCGGGAGGATTCGTCCGATGTCAGACTGGCTGGGTGTTGTGTTACAGCGGGCGTACCGCCAATTTCTGTGGTTACTACCGATGCATTATACGGCGCGTCCTGGGGGCAGTGGACGCTGGTCTGCGGAGGCTGTGGAGACTCTGGGCGGGTGGGATTATTAAATGAGGCATCGGCATCGACGGGGTTAAGGTCGCGGTCGGAGAAACTTGAACTGGCCGCCTGTGGGGACAGGAGCGGGTGAACCTTGGCCGGACTAAACGGCTCCCCATTCTTGAGTGTCGCCGACAACATCGTAGCTTGATTATGCGTTACTGATCGAGCGCCCGTTAATTGCGCTTAGTCTTTCGGGGTGTTTAGTTGTAGACCTTGGCGGATAGGATATTAACCGGCGTTTTTGTTCGGCTGAGGCGGCAGGAATATGTACAGCGAAAGATGAACGTATCCAGACGGTTCTGTCGAAAATAATAAATGCTCCAGGCAAAAACGAAAGGGGGACACAAAGGAAGCGATGGATCGTGCTACTGCATGGGCGCGAGTCGTAAGGTTGTGTTTGTGATAGCTGCTAACGGTGACCGAGGTGATGTGACGACCAGCGAACCGTGTAACCGGAAGTGAAGGTAAAGATTATAATGAAGGAAGAGCCCGGCTCGACCTGGTTAAATAAGAGAGAAATGTACAAAGTGTACACGACTGAACGTCGTGTTGCCGAAAGAGCGAAGGCGCAATTGGGGGAAAGACAGTGGTGCAGCTTGAGGCAGGTGTTAGGCACGATGCGAGACCTACTATATTCAATCCGCATCTGCAAGACATCTCTGCCACCGCTATTCTGGAGCATTGCCACATCACGATCCAATGCGCCAGCCTCAAACGAAGGGTACCGCCCATCTGTAGCGGCTAGCCCGCCGTAAATTTTGTGACACCTCGCGTGTCACAAACTCGTGGGTCCATGCCGGAGCATCTACCAAACATAGAACGAAGCTTCATTCTATTCCGCGATCTTGACACAGATTCCAACGGCCTAGGCGGCCCAGAAGTTCCTTTCAGCCTGTCTTCTAAGGCACGCTCCACCGCATGGTCACTTCGCTCGACTGTCAGAATCCTTCGATGACCCTGAGCGTTCATGGCTGACAAGCGCTCCCTCATGGGAAAGTCTCAGTCATCGGCTCATACCGACACTCTCCGCGTTTGATCCACACTTCGTTTAGAAAAGCCACAGCGGGTATCATGATTAGGAGCAAACTGTATTCGAGATTCACTATGAATCGCATCGCCGCAAAGTTATGCCACCTGCCGGCTGGACTAGCAGAGATGGACGAAACAACCCAAATTTGTACTAGTCCCTCTATAATCATACCTCTTTGCTTCGAACTCCCATCTGGTACAGGAGAAGTTTAGGCGAGACAGCTTGCTCCTCGCTAATTGTAGACCTTTGCGACACACTTACTAGGCGAGTGTGTACTGCATGAAATCGCTGCCGTTAGTACCGATGGTCCACAGACCTCATACGCCACGCATGGCTGTTACATGGAGTCGAGATATGGCAAGCGTTTACGGCAAATGTCGCGTGGAACACAGAGTGAAGTGGGCTCATACTCGCTACCAGTATGGTTGCAATGACCGCCCCCGCGCCGTTTCTGTCCACTCACAGGCGGGTCAGCGTATGTTTGCCTTCAGGCTCAAGCTGGTGCTGAAACTCGCGCATGTCAATCTCCTTGGGAGCCACCCGAGAGCTCCCGAGACCTTCAACTGCCGGAGTGTTGCTGAGCACTGGTAACTTGGGGCGGCGGTCCGAAGCGCAAGAAGTAAACAGGCGCTTACGACTGTCTCGTGGCTATCTTAGTTGGGTATCCAGCATGAGTGAACAACATGTATGACTTGAGATGTTCCATCCAGAGTAGTAGACATAGTGGCAATGGCGAGTACGGGATGACGCAGAGGGCGAGGAAAATAAAATCGGGAGGATGTGACTGGGCGTGGGTGAACCTGGCTATTTAATAGAAGTTTAAACGCGTAGAAGTTGGCGAAAAAATCGTGGCACGTAACTGAGACGAAGTTTTGAAGTATTGTTGGGTGAATGTACATGACTTTACAGTCTTTTGGTATTCATCACATATCGTGGTATCTAGTGAAGTCGTAACGAAAAGAAATTCGACAAGCGAGACACTTATTGGAGAGCCTTGCGAGCGAAAGTAGGCAGAACGAAAGCTGCCTCGTGGATCTCCTTGCTGTAGTACCTGCAAAGTTGCTCCTCCTCCTCGGTGGACCAGCTGCGGAGGGGCTTCTTGAGGTCGCGGTTGGCGTCCTTGCTGCAGACCATGAAGCCGATTTGACCAGAGGGGTAGGTAGGGATAGTGGTGTAACCGTACTCGACGTTGGGGAAGACCTCCTTGCAAGCCTTCTTGAGGTTGACAATGAGGGGCATGTGAAGCCATTGGTTCTCGGCTACATGGGAATGTTAGCCATTGACCAGAACAGCACCTTCCCGGCGCGTGGAGGTCTTCGAAAAGTGAACTTGTAACGAGTGGACAAGGAGAGGGCTTACAACCTTGGGTGGTAATGACACCGCCTTCGCGGAGTGCGCCGTTAAGCAGCTCGAAGTATGACTTCTGGAAGAGAGCCTCAGCGGGACCCTCTGGGTCGCTGGAGTCAGTGATGATGACGTCGAATTCGCCCTTCTTGTCCTCGAGGAACTTGAAGCCGTCACCAACGATGGTGGTGGTCTTGGGGTGCTCGAAGCCGACCGACATGCCGGGGAGGTACTGCTTGGAGAGACGGATGACAGCCTCGTCAATGTCGCAGAGGGTGGCCTCCTTGACACAGTCGTGCTTGACAACCTCACGGAGGACACCACCGTCACCGCCGCCAATTACCAAGACCTTCTCAGGGTTGGGGTGGGAGTTCATGGCAAGGTGGGTGATCATCTCCTGGTAGCTGCTCTATCGTCAACCATTGTTCGTGCCTTCCAACTAGGTGTGACATACGAGAACTCGTCGCGCTCGGTACATTGGATGACGTTGTCGAGGACAAGGACGGTGCCGTAGTTGGTGGACTCAAAGATGAGAACGTCCTGGTACTGGCTCTTCTCGTGGTGAAGAACCTCCTTGACCTGGAGAGTCATGGCCTGACCGGGCCACATGCCGGAGATCTCGCGGAACCAGCCATCTATAGCAGAATAGTTAGTCATTGAGCCTGGATAGGGTGGGGTGTCCAATTGATTCGTGAATCTGGTAGAACGCGACTTGACTTACCCTTGATGGTAGGGTGTTCGATAGCAGGCATCTTGAAAAATCTGTGGGTTGAAAAAGAAGGGTAGAGTAGAGGACGTGATCGTTTACGGAAGTAAACAGAAGATTGACAGAGCTGTCGCCGGATATATATGGGGACCTTCAGGTTTGCGGAGTTTTTCCTTGTGTTTGCGTTGGGCACAATTTTCTAGGTCTATGCACGTCACTGGTCGCGCGCGGTACCTGCCCCGCCATCCCCCACCAAGGTCATCCCGGGAAGGTCCAGCCGCAGGGCATCTATATTGGGTAGCATTATCTCCACGACTGCCAGACTGGTCCACGCTTTACGACTGACATCTGACATATCTTTTCTGTGTAGTTGTCACGGACAGCCGGAGTAGTTGTAAAGCCGATTTGATGTAGAGGGTTCCTGGGGGATGGCTGCCTGATGACGAGGGCGGCCGTATGCCTGGCACTATCACGAAACCGGATACTGACTGCATGTGTGAAGAAACATAAAGAGATGGCCTACGATGAGTTTGCGAGAGTTATTGGGAAGTGCCAATACCACTGAAGTTATTCTAAGAACATACAAGCAGCGCAACCATGACCGAAGCCGCCCCAGTACAAGATTCGGCTCAGGAAGAGCGCAGTTCTGTGCAGCAGATTCTCGAGACCAAAGAATATGAAAAGAATCCCGAGTTACTACCATGGTACACCAAAGAGCTTGAGGGGCCAAGTCCTGCGACAAGAAACATTTTTGAGAAGTATAGCAAGATACCACCGGGGGACGTAGTCACTCATATTAAACGTGTGAGAGATGACGCATTTACGGTTGTGAGTTTGGGTACCCGTTGGGCAACAAGAGCACAACTGTGTTGACAATGTAATAGTTCCCGTATCCTTGCCTGGGAAACTGGGGCTTCTTGAATTTCTCCATTGGGGTGAACCCCGCCTACCAGGAAGTTCTCAGTCGGATCAAGAGCGGGGAGAAATTCCTCGATCTGGGGTGTTGTATGGGCCAGGATATCCGCAAGTTGGTTCATGATGGCGCCCCCTCAGAGCATATGTATGCATCCGATCTCAAGAAGAACTTCTGGGGGATTGGTTATGATATGTTCTTGGACAAGTCAACCCTGCAGACGCAATTTGTGGAAGCCGACATCTTCGACACCGACTCGGCGCTGAAGCAGATGGATGGGAAGATGGACGTGATCAACGCCGCGTCCTTCTTTCACCTGTTCGACTGGGACCAACAGGTGAAGGCAGCCAAGCGTGCTGTTCAGTTGTTGAAGCCAGTATCTGGAAGCCTTATTGTTGGACGACAGGGCGGCAAGCCTGAAGCTGGCAGTTTCGCACATGTCATGAAGGAGATGACTGCTTTTTGGCACAATCCTGAGTCGTGGGCGAAGATGTGGAAGCAGGTTGGAGATGAGACTGGAACAGATTGGGAGGTTCAAGCTGTACTTGGCGAGGAAGATCTATCAAAGAGGATGAAGACTAGTCTGGTGCCTGCTGGTACGAGATTCATGACTTTTACTATTCGTAGAGTGTAGAAGACTAGTCGGACGAATACATTGGCTGGCATAGCATCGTGGCAGCCAGATGCGGATGCGGAGCAGCAGCCAATGAGCGTCGCTTAGGGTCCGAGCAAGGAAGCCAAACTCAATCTGGCTTCATCACCACCATTGCATCTTCAATCTAGAAGCCATTGACACGAAACATTCCAGTCGCTCACCATACAAAGCCACCCCACAAGCACTACAATCATGGACCCCTACTCGCCCGAGGGAGGTTCGTTGGACCACCAGCCACACCAGCTCAGAGCCCCACTAATGTCTATCCAGAGCTCATAAACATCCACTCGGCCTTCCACGCTGGCGCCTACCAGCAGGTTCTCGACTTCGATACTTCAAATTTCTCCTCGTCAAATGCGCTTCCCGTTCGCGTCCTCCAGCTCCGCAGTCAAATCGCGCTCGGCCAAGCACAAGCCGTGTCCAACGAACTCGCATCCGAGAAGACACCAGATCTGATCGCAGTGAAGCTACTAGCCGACTATGAGCAGTC